GCGAGTCTGCAGTGGCATGCCAAGCAGGCAAACTGAAGCGAAGCCGCGCAGCAAAACTCATGAGTTCACTCCACATCCTCACATAACACACCCCGACATCCAAACGTCCAACTGCAAGTTTTGCCCCACCTCTTTGGTGGTGTAAGCCAGGACAGAGCTCGTGCCTGTCTCTATGCCCAAGCTGGATGGCTTCCCGGTCCGGCCCTTCGGACATAACCGACATTTACCTTTAGACGGCTCTTAACCTTGGGGGTCTGGTGGCTTTCGCATGCGATTGGTGCCCCCACTCAAGAGCTGGCCTGCTCGGAGAAGGGCCACTCCTCCATCCAGGTCTTGAACCTCTGCCAGCCGGGCTGGCCGCACACCCGGGCAATCAGAGCAACAAAACCGATCTGCGCGCATGAAGCAGCGCCATACGCCGGAGCCAAAGCACAACACCGCACAAACGGCCGGCTGGTGAGGGACAGGCTGACTAACATTCAGATCAAAGACACACAGAAAGAAGCAAGCAATACCTCTGCTCACAAATTACTCCAACAGAGTTCCGAGAGCTGAGGTCTCACACTCCTCAGGTTCTGCACTCAGCTTCTTGCAGAAGGCCGCCTCAGAGCGCTGCACCGACATGAACGAGCGGGAATTTTTCCCAAGGGACCTCTCTGCCAAGCGCACGTCGGAGCCGCCCACTAGGTCTGCAAGACCCAAGTTGAGGCCTCGGCTCACAAAGATGAAGAGTACTCCAAATGGCCGTGGCTCAAAAAACCGGTACCATGCAACCCTGGTAAGTGGACACATGGACCAAAACCTGCGTAACCCCTCCTGGTTAATTTTGAGCCACACCTAAATGCAATTCGTTGCAAGGTCTCGGCTCGCATGGCAGACAGCCCCTTTGGCCCTGGAGATTCAGCTGACTCTACTTTCCTCGCGCTCAGAACTTCAGAACGTCCCTTGACGTCGTGCCGCCCTCCATTGTCAGCTACCGCACGCCCTTCTCATCTGCTTCACTTCTTGGTGAGCTCTGTCGGTCATGCCGTCGAAAGCATCTGAAGCTGGCAGGGATGACCTTCATCTGACTCTGTGACTCCCCGGCATGTCAGGTTCATCTTCAGAATCGGGTCTACAGTCTACGTTGTAGACATCTTCACAATCTGTGATCCTGCACAAGTTCACACCACTCCCAAACCACGTGCTAATCATTTTGAATCATGCATCGCAGTGCTCCTGGAAAGAGTGGCGGCGTATTTTCAGCCCACTGTGCATAGCCTTCACAATTCCGGTATCGGTGGTTTGCCTCCTTGCGCAGATTGACAGATTGACCGACAGCGGCACAAGCTCAATCATTCGCTGCCTTGTCCGCCCGCGCAGCAGCGTTCTGCAGTGTGAAGGCCATGAAAACGGTGGGGAACACCTGTAAGCACAAGACGAAGGATGTAACAGTGGCGATGCTGCAACAGCCATCCATTTGGCAGTGGTTGTCCAAACCAATGGGATCCCATTTGGGGGGTGTTCGGTGCACCAGCCATTTTAGAACCTATTTTGGTGGGGGTTGGGATCACTGGGGGTACGATTTGGATTTTGACCCATGGCCATATATCTTAGATCAATGTCAAGGCACGTCACTCTCTCTCTCTCTACCTGCGAATCTGCGATCTCAGGACAGGGCACATGCAGCCACCTGAATAGGCGTACCGCTGATGCCCATGCACCTGGCGCTATCTGAGCATTTGTCTGAACACTCCGCATGCGTCCAATGCAGCTTAGAATCGAGATTCCGCAATGGAACATCAGCTCACCCAAATAGTTTGGGTGCCTGCACACCGATCACACAGCATCCATTGTTTCACACTCACAACGTGCCGGTGGACCATGCCTGCACCAGCCTTGCGGCCAGTCGGAAAGTCAGACATCCAGCCACCATGTCAGCCACTATATGACGCATCTGACACACTGCCAAAGCTGCAAACGTCAAACACACCAGCGCAAGGCATGTTTTTTGATCAAGCATGAAAGCTTCAAAGCCAGCCAAGAAGAAAACAATGGTTCGACACTTACATGCCACTCCCTGCACGCCAGTCCACCCCTTGCCACAATTTCACTCCCTGCATCCCACTCCCCTCACAAAATTCACAGCGCAGCTGACATGGCAACCACAGCACCGAAGGCTTCTTGCAAAGAAAGCAGCTATAGAGCCCGTCCATCACTGGCAGCTTTGGTGCCATCCTCTTGGCCAGCAGCTTCTCCTCGTCGGCGAGGGTCTCTATCAGTAGCCCCAAGGCCGCCAAGCCGACGCCTGGCTGCACGGCGCGGTGCGCGCGAAGACGTGTTCCAAGCTTCCGGCCTGACCAGCCGACGGCTTTCAAAGATGGCCGTGCACGGGAAGGGGCCGAAGACATGGCAACCGCCAGTGGCAAGGCATACAATGCCTCAGGTGAATGTTGGCAGAAAGCTACTCCAGTGAATTGGTTGATGGTCCTTCCAGACGCACACACTGAAAAGGCAAGTGAACATGCCTTTTGGTGCTTTGAGATCATGGAAGGTCTAAGTGGATGCTCTAAGCAATCCGCTTCAGTTACTGAGGGACATCTGACATCAGCAGCAAAGCCGCCTGTGAGAAGCTCACGCCCAGCACAATGGCAAACTTGCTGCTCATGTCCATCATATCCGACCTGTCCGCTTCAAACTTGGCAGCTGCTTGTTTTGTCTTGCAGTAACCATATTGCTTTGACACTCTGACACGCTCAACACAATTCAACCAGGCAAGCAAGCAACATATGCTAGATATCCTGTCGTTTCGAGTCTAATATGTCTTAGAGTCTTTCTTCCTCCTCGATTCTGACATATCAAACCTGTGCTTTGGCTTTCCTATACTATCCTCATTCCAGAGGATTGAGCTAAGCATTCCCATGCGCTAAGCACCCGACTTGAGCTGGAGGATTTCCCACTTTCCTTTGTAGCTATCCTCGCCCTGCCATCCAGAACCCGTCGTGGTCAACGGGCTCATGGAACAAAACTGTGTGGGGCATGGCCATTGTTTCTGGCAGTTGAAGTCCCTTGTCATCCCTCTTGAAGAGTTGGCTGTGGGTCAGACATGTGCACCCAAAATGGAACCCTGGTAAGTGGAAACATGGACCAAAACCTGCAGTCCGCTGGTGGATTAATTTTGACCTATACCCAGTTGACCACGCCTATTAACCCCCGATCAATGTGGTCCTTCGACAATGGCACAGGTCCGACGCTCGTATCAAAGCTCCGGCCCAAAACCATTGGTAAGGTCTCAGGTCACTCGCCTGTCTTCGGATGAAGAATGTGCTCAGCCGAACCTTGTCTCTCACGCTCGCATCAAGCGCTCAGATCTGTTGGTTTGGGACAAAAGGAAGCGAACCACTTGGAAGGGTCCCTCAGTTGACACAGGTGGGTGTTTTCTGCAGCAAAGGCACGCCATAAGCAGCATACAAGCTGCAA